AAATTAATGAACTTTTTTCAAACATTTTTGACGGAAAGAATTTTCATTTGATTTACAATTTTATAATAAATGAACTAAAGTTTGGGATTAAGTTCTGTGATTAGAATCTCATTATAAATGATGAGTTCATAAGAGGTAGTATTCATTGGAGACATTCAGTAGAAATCCTAAACTTTTAATACTATAAATGATTTGACATTGAGGTTTGATATTAACAAGTAAATAAATTTTAGAAAATTTTTTATATTCTAGACATTAGATAAATATTTCATCTAAAATTATTTATAAACTACACTTTGACTACATTGATTGAACTAGTTGTTTTCAGTAAATTTGTTTAGATTATTATTCAATTGATGACTTATTTATTTCGTATGACTTTTAATTTTTAAAGAGCAAAATCTTTTATCAGTAATTAGTATTCAATAAACTGGAATTAATCGCTGATTTAATTCAAAATTATAATCATTTCAATGCAAAAATGATTAATAATTTAACATGTAATTTCATTTAATAAATAGGAAATACAGAAAAATATTAATATGAATAAAGTTCCTAACATTTACTATCGATTTAAACTGATATCTGATGCAAACCACAAACAAATAGCCTAATCGTGTCCTTGCATTCACTCAGTCTTAATGATTGGAGTTTATGATGACATGAATTACTTTTACTTTGATCTCATATTTTAATTATCAGACTTCACTCCCAATGTTAGAGTACAACAAAACATATCATTGAAAGTGTTATATATATATATAGCGAAGACAATTAAGAAGTTTTAAGTAATTTGATCTCAATTTTCATTAATTAGTTTGAAGTTTGAGTCAATTCTTAATAGAGATGCCGACAGAGAGTGTGGACATCGGGGAGGCTTTGGTGTCATATCTTAGGGGAAAATTTTTAGCACAAATCAGTACATCTCATGAAGACTATGAAGACTCAGACATCGATTCCGTGCGTAATAATGACGCCATTCTTCATCAATATCTTGAGGCCAAGAATGGCAACATCGATGAGTCGCTCAAGACATTGGTGACAGCCATGAAGTGGCGAAAGACTTTTGGTGTGAATCACTTGAATGCGGCCTCATTTCCACGAGAGTACTACCAAATGGGAAGTCTTTTCACGTATGGATTCAACCTAAAAGGCGCGCAAATGATTGTCTTCCGCGTGAAGAATAACAAAAAGATAAAGTTTTGGTCGGATATGCTTAAGAAATATATCGTATATCTCATTGAGAAGGAAAGCCTAAGGTTTGCCGATCATCTGAACC